ACTAACGTAACTAACACTACTAACTACTACTACTACTACTACCTACTACCTACTACTACTACTACTACTACTACTACTACTACTACTACTACTCTACTACTCTCTCTCTCTCTCTCTCTCTCTCTCTCTCTCTCTCTCTCTCTCTCTCTCTCTCTCTCTCTCTCTCTCTCTCTCTCTCAATTAATCTGCAAACCAACTTCTCCTCTCTCCTCTCTCTCTCTCTCTCTCTCGCCCCAAAGACCCTTCATCAATGGACGTCCATTCAAATAACACACACGACTCGGACAATTCCTCACCAAGATCCAGAGACACTGACCACCAGGACCTCCCAAGCTACAAGGTCAAGGTCCTCTGTAGCCATGGCGGAAGAATCCAGCCGAGACCCTATGATAACCTGCTCTCTTATTATGGCGGAGAAACCAAGATCGTCTCGTTTGACAGAAACGTATCCTTCTCTGCCATGAAAGCAAAGCTTCTTTCTCTCTGTAACCTCCCAGACATCATCTACAAATACCAGTTGCCAGGTGAGGATCTCGACGCCTTGATCTCCATAACCGACGAAGAAGATCTCGAGCATTTAATGTCTGAATACGATCGGTTACAGAGAAGCTATGGCAAAAAACCGGTGAGATTAAGGCTGTTTTTGTTCCCAAATTATCAGAGCCCAATTTCTGTTTGTACAGTGAAAAATCCTGATTTTCTTTTTGGTCTCGATGATAATGCCCAAACTGCCCCTGAGAAGCCAGGGGATATGTCTAAAGATCAGGAGAATAAAGATTTTATTGAGGGTAAATCCGGGGAATTGGCCCTTGAGCTTCAAACCCTTCAAGTTACAGAGAGAGAAGAGGGTGAACCGGTTTCGAAAAACCGGCATTCTGATGCAAAACCGGTTGTGAGCGGGTACGGTTTTCCTCCACCACCCGTTCATACTGGTTTTCCACCGGTTCATACTGGTTTTCCGGTTCAGAGAGGCTTTGCTTCAGGCTATTATCCGGTTTATATGGGGGAGAATGGTTATAGTTATTCAGTTGGTGGTTTTGGTGAACCGATTTTGAGGCCTGTTCAGCCGGTTCCCGAAGTGGGTTTCAAGCCGGTTTTGTATGTGGGGCCAACAGTTGGAGAGCCCTTAGGTCAGATTCCAGAGGCCACGGTGGAATTTCAGAGGAGTCCGACACCGGAGATGAAGGCCGAAAAACCGCCTCTTCCAGTTTGAGATATATATTTAATTTATATTTTTGTTTTTTTCAGCTTTTCTTTTTTTTGTTTTTTTGAGAATTTATATTCCAAAATGAAACGCACTTTTCTTGGAAGGAAATGCCCCAAAGTGCCTGGTATTTCCACATTTCAATATGGTGGCAAATTGTATGAAGTATTTCTAATGTAATGTTCATTTTATGAGGAGATGGCGCCCAAGTTTGTAACTTGCAAGCATGGCTTGTTATTTAACCCTTTGTGAAGAGCAGTGTGACTCAATATTAATAGTAGTATTATTTTATAATAGTACAATAATAAGTAGAGTTTATTTTATAATAGTACAATAATAATTAGAATAATAATACTACGAGACCCTCTCACACCCATGTGAGTAAGACTCCAAATGATCACCATTAAATTTTAAAACAAATCTCTAAAAAAGTTATCAATAAACCCATTCACCCAAATCTTATACCCATGTCATAACTTTTCTAGAGATTTATGTTAAAATTTAATGGTGATCATTTGGGGTCCTACTTACATGGTGTGAGATGGTCTCACAGTGTCATTACTCTAAACAATCAAATTAGAATGTACCTTCAAATAATATCGAGAAATGTGGTTTCAATATTGAAAATCTTTGTGACAGCCTCAAAATATATTTTCATATTTATTTATAAAATTTAAAGCTTCAAAAATAGTGTAAATCGAGATATCTATGAAAACTTGAAAAGTTTGAAAATTGACCGTCCAAAAATGCATTACAAAATACACTATTTTCAAAACTTGCAATCCATTTTTTTTCTCATGTCCATACATCTTAATGTCAAGATGATCAATTTGAAGATACTTGAGCATCAAAACAACCTCTTCTAGTGAAATTTTTGAGATAGGTTTAAATTTTATTGTTTAGAGCCTCGATTCCATATGAACTTTTTCCATAGATAAAATGTGATTTAGATGATCAAACCACCTCTTAAGATTATTTTTGAAAGTATCTTTTCTAACAAAAATACCTCTAGAATAGAAATTTAGAACAAGTAGAGCCATTTTAGTAATTTAACTATATATAAGCAGCCAGAGCAACTAACATGACCACATGCGTTTTGGATTCTGGCCTTCAAGGCACCATACTGCAACATGCTTTTTCAATGAAGCCTCTTATTCGTGTTTAATTAATATAGAAAGAGATTATTTACATTTAAAACAATATCATGTATATTATATAGCTCGAACCAAAACCATCCTGCTTGTTATGGGATCCAAACCCAAGACATGAAATATCTTTTTCACTGTTTGGAACAGAGAATTGCCAAGGGATTTTATGGTAACTTATCCACACTTGTGTCCTGAACCAAATTATCAAAATACTTTTGCTTTGTGTCAGATTCTAAATTCAAAATAGAAACAATTTGGACATATTTTGCTCAAATAGTTAAAGGTACAAGTGAAATAATCCAATCAAAGTAAAAGCTTTGATGATAAAGTGGTTGATTGCACCACCTTAGTATTTATTCAGGTGGGTTGACTATTTTAAAGAGAAAACTCTCATTTAATAAGTTGATGTTATTATTATGGATTTAACACTATATTAGGATATGGAGCACCTATATTTATTTTTTTCGTAGATCAAGCTTTGCCGAATCTCTATTATGAATTCTGATAAAGTACCGCAGACGTTTCAAAGAATCTTCCCTGTAGTACATTTTCTAAGTTGGAAAAAGTTTATATAAGGATGTAACCTTATAATGTAGAACTACGGACTCCTCAAAAATCCATCGAAAAAGGTAGTTTTAATGTTGAAAAACCCTTTGATTGATCGTCTCGACATCTAGATGTATGAATGTGAAAAATAAAAAAAATTTAAGTCTCAAAAATAGTGCATTTTACAACATATTATCTGCACTGTCCAATTTTAATATGTTTATAGATCTACTTGATTTTAATCATTTTTGAAATTTAAAATTTTATAATTAGATATAAAAATAAATTTTGAGATAATCCTACGAACATTTTACATCAAAGTTATATACCACCATAAAATTTGAAGGTGCACCTTACCTCTACACCTACGGATGCATCCATATGCCAACTGGAGGTCAATAAAGAAAAATGATATGCCATGATATATCATTTTCCTTTGGGATTGTCAATAAAGAAACCATTTAAATTTTGTACATGGAAGTCACGAGCATTCTTGTCTCTTAAATTTCAAAATGAGCAGTTGTAACACTATCATTGATTTGACACAAAGTTCCAAAAAAAAAAAATTCTCGTACTTTGAGACTCATCTCAAGCCATCCAATTTGACATCTAACAAGTGGGAATAGCTGTGACCTTCTTGTACAATAGGTAAATGGTATCTTTGTAAACAATTCCGTTTCTTTTCATGAACAGAATTGCATTACATTACGTAACTCTTAAGTATCAATCTCTTAGAATAAGGATTCCAAGCATGTATAGCATGGTACTTCACTGGGTGAGCTATCATCATACCCATGGATGATGGATATTAGGCTTGTGAATGGGTCAGATCGGATAAGCTAGGCTTGGACCCTAGAAAGGATTCAAGTCAATTGGCATGAAAGGGCCCTTTTTCTTCCAGCATACTATATATTAATGTTATTAGGATCAAGCCGGTCATTGAACGGTGAGCGAACTAGCCTATTCAGACTGATCCAACCTTCGGTCGAATCGGTTTAACCATATTTTAAAATATAAATAATATAAATAATATTTTAAAAATATATAATACAATAAAAAGGGACATTGCACAATTTTGTTTGGTCAGTCGAACAAGTAAAAAATAGTTGGTGATAGGTCAAAATCAATTTTTTACCATACATGTTTTTAACTTTAGACTAGATTGGCCAAGGCACCAGTCAACGACCTAACCAATTGGACTACTAGTCTGGTCTGATAACTATACTTTGTATCCCAAGCACTTGAGAGGATAGTAACATGTACTCCAAAATACCGAGGGAAAAGATCATCTTCTGAAATGATAATATCGGGAAACTTATTAAAACATACACCGATTATATTAACAAGGTTCTCAAACTTGTCTTGGCCAAGGTACTCGGCCATTGGCAAAAGCGAGTAACTCGGTCGAGTTCAAGTGGAACCAAAAAAGGTTAAAAGATAAATTTTCTTAAAAAGTAAGAAAGAAATAAAATAGGCTATGGAAAGCATTAGAAGACTAAAAAGATGAAAAATATCTATAAATATGCATTTTAAGAAGGACCCGGTTTTTATGTGGCCAAGCCCGCATATATAGAAATACGGGCATCTTAATAAATCTATTTTTGAGATGGATTTTAAAACTTAATTTTTAAGGATATGTAGTCTCTAACATGGAGATCATGAATATGAATAAATAAATAAAATTTTAAAACTAGAAATAATACTTCTAGTAAGAAAACATTTGGACCGTTAGTTTCCATTGTTTTTAGATGGAACACCTACTTGCATCCATCTTTAAGATTGATGCTTTGCACTTTCTGGGCCACATATGTAGAAATGCGTTCCCGCCCGTATGAAACAATTTTCCTTTTAAGAATTTTGATTTAGTTTTAAATATTTCAAAAAAATTAAAAAAGGGAAAACATTGAAAGCGCTCGAATCACCTTAAGAATGACCAAACATCATCTAAAAACTTATTTCTACTAAATATAGTGGTGTTTCTATAAAATTTTATAAGTTTTTTTATTTTTTAGTTTTTTTTTACTACATTTGTAAGGGTGGGGGGAGTTGCCGTAAAACTCACCCCTACTTGGCCTCACCATAGGGCGAGTCCTAGTAACTTGCCCGAGTCTAAGCAAACTCGAGCAAGTCACTTAATGTTGATATTTAATATTTCACTCATTTATTAAAAGATAATTAAAATACCAATTATATGAACTCATGATTATGTACTCTTTAATATTACTAGAATTATATGAAAACAAATGGGTGATATTTTATAGAGTTCACTTGCTGGGTGGTTCTTTTTTCATTTGTTTCCCATTGTAATATAAACACCACCAGATCGGTCATATAGAATAACAATATTAGACCTGGGTGGTCCAACATTGGCACTTCTCCTCATAACATATACTTTTTTCCCTTGAAAATATATCTTTTACCCAGGTTCCTATCCCTTTGTCGTTGATTACAAACTCTTTTTTTTTTTTTTTAACTTGTCAATGATCACAAACTTAGTCTTTTTCCTTTATGCCCTACTTAGATCCTAGGATATGTAAATGGAGATTTTTTTTTTTAACTTGTCAATGATCACAAACTTAGTCTTTTTCCTTTATGCCCTACTTAGATCCTAGGATATGTAAATGGAGATTTTTTTTTTAGTAGATAAGTCAGGGGAAAGGGTAGGAATTTATGATGAGGCTTGTTTAGTGATGAAGCACTGACTTTATTGTAAAAGGAAAAATGTTTCCTGCCGTGGAGACTGCAATTCTATATTTGCGGTCCCCGAGGTATAAAGCATCCATATTAAAGATGAAAGCAAATAGGTAATCTATCTAAAAACAATTGAAACTAACTATCTAAATATATTTTTGATAGAATTATTATTTTTAATTTTCAAATTTTATTTATTTATTTATATTCATGATCTCCATGTTAGAGATCACATGTCTTTAAAAATTAGAACCAAAAATCCATCACAAAAAAGAGGTGATTCATTTCTTCATGGACTATATCCATTATAAAAAAAATACCTCCAACTTTTCATGTTTGAAATGAAGAAAAAAAAAAAAATTTGTGGTTCGTGTTGCAAAACTTGAGCAACTAGAGGCATCTTGGTGAACTGGCAGTTTCATTTTTTTTCCAATCTTGAATATTCAGGGTATTTCTTCAATTTGGTTCAAGCTACTTAAATGGCAAAACTAGTCAAATATTATTATTATTTAGGACTCTCGATCCTAAACTGGAGTAGTAATTCTAGAACTGTTGAATAAATTCCCAAGGAGGTGGTACATTACTTAAAAGGAAAAAGTTTATCCAAGGTATCAAGTTTATACTGTAAAAGTAAGGTTCATTTTAACAACTAAAAAAGATTGCTCTAAAGTTGAAAAAACTTTTAATTGGTCATCCCGACTTCGAGATGTATGGAAATAGAAAGAAAAACAAAAAATTTAAAGTTACAACACATTATCTCAACCTCAATCTACACCATTTTCATAGTTATAAATTTCATAATCAAATACAACAATAGAGTTTTTGGACGTTATTAGGGCAACCAGCATCAAAACTTCATCTTCTAATACGATTTAAAAGTACGTCTTACTTTTATTGTTTAAGTACGACAACTTAAAACTTCTATTGAAATGAAATTATAAAAATAATTTACAATAAATGTGGTTTTTAAGCCCTTCAAGAGATGAATTAAACACGATCATTATCATCCGAGCCTTATCCCAACTGTTTGAGATCGACTACACAAATCTTATTCGGCTTTTTTGTTCTATCAAAAGCAAAGCGCTTAATAAGATATTGAACATCTCAACCATAATTTTTTTTTTTCTCTTGTTATTAGTCGGTAGACAAATGAAGGTCATATTTGTGAGTACGAAAGTTGTAAAGGTTCAAATGACTTTATTTGGTGTATTTAAAGATTACAAATTTTACTTTATTTTCATAAAACTCACGGAGCTAAAATGAAGTTAGTTGGTGTAGAAATTTTTCTTAAAAGATTTCTATTTTAAATATTAAAAATTTTATTTCACTTTGATATTCATGATCATGAATACCTAGATCATGAATCCCCAAAATTTTAGATTAAAAATCCATTAAATCACTTGGAATTCACTTTAGAGAGAGAAAATGGACCAAACACCACAAACAGAGAGAGATTTGACCGAGGGAAAGAGGATTTTAGAGAGAGAAAGGGATTGTAGGTTTTCTACAATCAGTGTTTTCCTCGTGCGCCACTTTAGAAAGAGAAAATGCATCAAACACATTGTGGGGGAGAATATTAAACCTAGGGAAAGAGGAGTTCAGAGACAGAAAAAGAGAAGTTTAGAGAGAGAGAGAGAGGAGGGGGAAGTATGGAGCGACCTGTTCAAATGGCGCAGGAATGGCTAGAGGGCTTGGGAGCCGATCAAAGCGGCTCGGCTTATGATCCGGCCAAGCCTAAGCGGAACGAATTCGAGCGGTTCTCCCTAGCCGGCTTGAGAGTCAGCCGAGCCGAACCAGGCCGGATCATCTGTCATCTCACTGTGCCGAAACGCCTCGCGGTAACTCCAATCTTCAGTAAACTTCGGTAGATTTCGGACATGCATATATATATGCCTTTTCTTGTCTGATTTACCATGAAAGGGGGGAGAAATTTCGTTGAATGTCAGACCAAAATTCATCGAAATTTTGGGTTTCAGCGATCTTCGTGTATCATTCTGAAACTCGAGACACGAAGATTTCGACTAAGTATTTCCCCTGTGATAAAAAGCGGAATTTTCGATGGATTTCAGCCTCAAATTTCGTGGATTTCTTTTAATTTTTAAGGATTTTGTTTTGCTTTTTTTTCCCTGGTTGGAACTAGAGATGAAGTTTCGGTTTATTTTGTCGGAAATTCTTCTGAAATTTTGTGGAAGAAATTTCGCCAGAATTTCACTGAAATTTTGATTTTTCCAGGATGAGAAAGGAAAGTGGCACGCAGGTGCCATAGCCGCTATGATCGACAACGTTGGAGCGGCCTCCATTAAATCTTGTGACTTGCCAATAAAAGTGTCCGTTGATTACAATATCTCATATATTTCAACGGCTGAGATTGGGGTAAGTAACTCTGATTTTTTATTTAATTTTTAGAGATATTCGTCTTTTTTTTGTGATTTTTTATGGATTATTTTAAATTTTTTATTTGTTTGATAAAAGAAGGGACAAGAAGACCCTGGTTAATGATGTTTTTCTTGGGGAAATTTGTTAAATTATTCATATATTTTTTTATTTAATTTTGAAGTACCTATGAAAGACGCGATCTTGAGTTGAAATAGTTGTAAACAAATAGAATGTTTAAATAATTCATCTATGAGTGCTTTTTATTTTTATTTTTATTTCATTTGTTACGTGATTTTTCTTAATGTTCGAAGGAATGTTTTTTATAGGGTGTACAAATGTAAAACCACACCATAAAACTCATCCAAAATTGCATTATAGGATCAAAAAACTTTCAAATCGATCATCTCGGCCTGATCGTTTATCATTGTCATTGTTGGAGATTCTAATGCCCAAAACCCCAATTTAATTGATATCGAATATCACACACTCAATACCTAATATATAAAATCGATAATCCAATAATAAGTACAAGGATCGTCTGTAAAAATTTAAGAAAATAAATTAAAAATAGAAAACATTGTCATGAGAGAAAATTAAAAAGACAAACCACAACACGAATTTAATGTGGTTCATCCCGTATGCTACGTTTACGGGCAAGCCGACAGGTATTCCACTATTAAAAAGTGGTTCACCCCATAAGGCTGCAAGCCGACGAGTATTCCACTATCAAAAAAAAAATTGACAAATGAGGGATATAAATGTTACCTCCATAGATAAAATTGGTAAAAAATACATCACCAAAATACCTTAATCACCCAAAATCACGATCTATCCAGTGTTTCACTTTGAATGATTCAAAGACATGAGAAATACACGCTCATACAATTTCTCTCATTAATTGGACAAAAAATCATTCTTCACCTCTTCTTTCTCAACTTAACCCAATAAAGCCCTAACCCCTTTTTTAGATAGAGAAGAGTTCAAACCAAAAAGAATAGTGTCTCAGAAAAACCCCATTCAATGCTTTTATACAAGCAACGGACAAAACAACCGCCAAGAAAAAAAGGAAAAAAAACAAAAGCATCTAAAAAGTGATTTCTCTATCAACATTCAACATTCAACAATCATCATCATTATCCAAGTTTTATTTCAATTATTTAGGGTCGGCTTGATGATTATGATTGTAAAAAAAATATCGGATTTCGAGCCTAAAAATAGTGTGTATTGACACATCATTTAGAGCGTCATTTTCCCCCTAAAAATAAGCATCAATTTGAGCTTCAAAATTTCATAATCAGTGTTGGAAATTGATTTTAAAGCTATAATAAAGATTCCGATGCCCAAAGTGCTTTATGGACAAGGATTCCTAGTGAAGCTTTACTTTGTTAAAGCATAATCCTTATAGAAAGGATTTTATGCTATGAGACAATTTATTTTTTATACAAAGAATTTTATGCTATGAGACAATTTATTTTTTATACAAAGAAGTCACGATCACTTTTAACAATTGGATGTAAAATCAATAATCACTTTTAGCCATTGGATGTAAAATCTAATACATGAAAGTGTATCACAACATTCAAAAAAATTTATTTTGCACTTTGTGCGTAAATAGTGATACACCTTCAACCACCTGATTTCAAATCTAACGGTCAATAATGATTGGAACCTCTTTGTATTAAATGAAAATGATCTCATTATATATAAGTCGCTTGTGAAAACTGCATCCTCTTTTAAAGCATACTTTGGTAATTAATTTTATTTCATTCATCTTTTTTTGGCAAAAAAAAAAAGGAGGTAATGGAGATCGAGGGTAAAGTTTTAGGGCACAAGGGGAAGCTATCAGGGGTAATGGTGGAAGTGAGAAGAAAAGGAAATGGTGAAGTTGTGGCTCAAGGGCGCCAATGGATGAAGGCCACAAGTAGACTTTAATTTTTCTCTTTTTCTATTTTTAGAGCATTTATTTTCCCATTTTCCTCTTACAATTCTGCTCAAGTGAATCCTGTAATCTGAATCTTTGTTGTGATAAAAATGTTTTGCTCTCTCTCACTAAAATAAAGGTTTACCGTTGGAATAAAGCTATCTTCTTGTGTGTATTTCTAAGATAGATTACAAATGCACTAATACGAGTGTCAGATTCTCTAATTGTAATATTGCTTTTTCAAACATGACACATATTAATATTGCTTAGGTATTATATATAATGAGACTAGTTACTTTTGATACAACGAGATCACAATTATTTATAACCCCCCAATATGAAATTTGATAGTTTGGGTCTACCACAAACGTCGAGGAATTTTTTTATTTTTTTTGTTTTAACTTCTGAGTTTGATCAATGCAAAAATGTAACCACCTAATTTTATAGTCAATAGTCAAGATTAATTGTGACTACCTTGTACTAAATGTAAATAGTTTTATTGTGTATTTTTCTTATTGTTTAATAAAAATAGAAGTATATAATTAAACCATTTACTTTTGGTATAAGAAGATCACAACTATTATTGACCGCTAGGTGTGACATCGGGTGTCATTGACTAGACAAAATTTAAAATAAAATTTTTCAAATATTGTGACATAATTCAACCGATCAAATTTTTACATTCAATATCTAAAAATAATTATGACCTTCTAATAACACCATTAGTATACAATTCCTTACAAAAGAGAAAATGACAATAAATAAAATGAAAGGCTTTTAAGCATATGTTGGTCATATACCTACTACAAATTAAGTAACAAGTGAAATATACGTACTACAAATAAAAAAATAAAAAGCTCTAGCATGCGTGTCCATGATGCATAGGTTCTAAATTTTCGGGGCATCTTATGATATATATTTTGTGATTTTAAACCATATTCTAAAATGGGCTTTTTTGGGAGCCTGAGATATTGAAGACCCCTATAGGAAAATGTTTGATTTGATAATGGAAAGACAACCAAATAGAACCAAAGTTATTTGGAAGCTTATGGCGCCCTATTACTTATCGAAAATTGCAGTGTTAAATGCGATACTAGTGTTTCAAAATATAGATTATTGAGGTAGATTGTTCATCTACTGACCCCAATATTAAAAGTAGGGCAACAGGTCGGGCCAACCTTTCGCCTTAGCCTGGCCTTTGTCCCCACAAAGATAGGCTAGGCTAAAAACATATGGATAAAAAAAAAAGTTTTGGGTCAGGCCAAACCGGGCTGTTACTAGCCCTAACCGAGTCCTCGGGCCATAATTTGTGGCCAAAACCCAATTTTTTTAAGAACCAGGTCGCTTGGTCCATTGCCAGCCCTACCAAATATTGATCAGCCAGATCACTAATAAAATCGGCAATACAAACAAGCAATCTAAGCCGAATGGATTGGCAACTCAGAAAAAACAATTAAAGAATAAAAATATCAATAGACCTAAAAGGGCCTTTAGGGTTAGTTAACAATGAAATAGGGTGTAAAAATGATTAAATAGAAAAGGGAATAAATGGGTGGAATATGACTGGTAGCCAGTACTTCCCAAAGAAGGGAAAATAGGCACAAACTTGCTTTGTTGAAAAAAATTTCTAATATGTAGAAGAAAAATGGATTTGTATACTATTTGATTACAAAGAGATCACAATTATTCCTAACCATTAGATTTTGATTTCAAATTGAATGGCTTGAGATTTATCATGAAATTTGAGAAAAAAAATTTTGAATATAGTTAATGACACTCTTAAAAGTGCTTGTGACTTCTTACTACTAAAAAACTTGAACGGTCCCTTTGTATATCTTTCCAAGAAAAACATACATCCATTTATGTTTAAAGGCCCATTCAAACTCACCCTAAAATAATAGAGGAAGAGAAACATATAGAGAGACCTAAAGAGAGAAGAGAGGTCATGTTATCATACACATACGCATCGGATTGAAAATCAGACAGCTAGAGTGTGACATTTCTCTATTCGAAATCCGAGAAGAATTCTTCCCAATTGAGATTGCCACTCCGTGTCGCCTGATTTCGCATATAACAACATCAAAAGTGATTATAACCTTTTTGTACCAAAAAGAACTGTCTTATTGTATACCCTCCCTCAATATCCATCCCTAAAAAGCCCAAAGACTAAATTCTCAGTTATTGCTAGTATCATAACCATCAAATGAAACAAATATCAAAACCAGTAAAAATGGAACTTCTAATAGAAGTAATAATATTTTCAACAAAACTCCCAGAGTTTACAGCACAGAGTGATTACTAAGGCACAAAGGAGGGGGCTTAAAAGGCAACCCGTTATTCATAGAAGACCAGGTTCCTAGAGAGAGAAGATCAAACAAACTCAAACTTTTTGAGAGAGAAGAAGAAACAAACTCTTAGAGAGCCTTGAGGATTTCGTCAGCACTAGAGACAGAGAAGGCTCCTCCTTCCTCTAGGTTTGCTACCTTGACCACAAGGTTATCAACCAATAGAGCAAACCTTCGAGAGCGAATCCCGAGATCTTTCTCGGTGAGGTCAAGCTCGAGCCCGAGGGCATGAGTGTAGGATGCAGAGCCATCGGCAACAAACTTTACGTGCTTGTTCTCGGGGTATGACTCTGCCCATGCCCTCATTACGAAAGGATCATTCACTGTTTCCATGGAGGTGGGACGATATCAGTGATGGAAATTTAGGTGAATGCACATGCCCATGAGAGAGAGAGAGAGAGAGCAACTTTCTTTTAGACCATTTTGTGTATGCATCTGTGCAAGGAGCGAAAGATAAACTGTTCTTTTAGCCAATTGAGTGTATGTGCGTTTTTTTTGTTTTGTTGTGTGTTTGTGTGAGAGAGAGAGGGAGAGTGAGAGGAGGGAGATAACCTGTTCCTTTAGCCAATTGTGTGTTTTGTTTGTGTGAGAGATGAGATAAGCTGTTCTTTTAGTCCATTCTATGTGAGTGTATACGTGTGCATGTGTGTGAGAGCGGGTGAAAGGAGAGATACTGTTTTCTCAGTTGATTCGGTGTGTGTGTGAGAGAGAGAGAGAGGCACATTTATTTTGCCAAACACCAAACTACAAAAACAGCTTGAAGCACAAAGTAACAGGTATTTGTGAATGACTACTGTTGCCTGTTAAGGACTCCAAAAATTCAAATCATGTTATGCATAAAACAGAATTAGATAAGATTAATCAAATTCCGCAATTTTACCGATCAATACAAAAAGATCAAATTCAATTTTTGTGCACAAGAGCCCATCAATTTCTCAACTATGAAATACTAAGAATAGAGACTATAATCAAGAAAAACGCATAGATGCAGCAACAAGAGAGAGAGAGCTCATCACGCAAGTTCACGAGGAAATAAATACAATGGCAAATTAACTAGCAGTCAGTGTTTTCTGTGAGCCAATTTTCAAGTCCATCTGTTAGAGCTCGAGAGGTAGATTTCTGAAGAAGCACACTTGTCTGCAGCAAGGGGCTCGGGTACCTCTCCCTAACTCAGATCCCTTTCCCATCATACCATCCCATTTCGTACATTTCTCTCTATCTCTCTTAACCCTCACGAAATCCTGTTTAGCCTCTCACATCTTTGTTCTTTTCATCTCACACCTCGAATTTCACCTCTCCCCTTCTATCATCTCGAGTCTTGCCTTCCCTCTGTAAACTTCTCATCATCTCACGTCTTGCCCCTGAACTCTAAATTCTCATCTTTCTCGTCCCTCTTCCATATTAAACTTCACTCCCCTCACAAGGTTATAAGGTCACGCAGCAACCTTTCTGCTGTCTCCACACTCTCATTCCCATGTCCCACTCGCAAAATTTCAAAAACTACATCACTCTTACAACTCCTTTATTTTGTCCAGTAAATTTTTTTGGGTAGGAAACGTCACGGGACAACCTTTCTAGCTCTCCCTACTTTCTCCCCTATCCTCCAAACTACCTTTCTTTCCCTCTCTACCCTTTGTATTCTGTCTCGACATCAGTCGACCCCCTTCAAAGACTGAAGACCCTCTCATCAGAAAGGATGCTAATGTCGATAGCAGCTTTGCTTCATCTTGATCTCTAGAATCCCTGCAGATTTCGCTTTGGTAGTCTCCTTTGGGTTTTGTCTAACAGCTCTACCAGGGATATCACTTTGGGGATTCATCATCCCCTGTAAATCACTTGAGACAACCATCAATACTTAAAAGCGACATTTCCACGACAGGTCCACCCCAAACTTTGGACCCTAGGGGATAAGAAGAAGTCTGGGGCCAGCCCCCTTGCCGTTACATAGACCTTTGGGGATTAGAAGAAAATTTCGGCCAGCTCCCCATATCAGTTCATTGTTTTTTTCTTTTTTGTGATAGCTCCTGAGTCTAATTCTATCTCTTCTCTATCTTCTCAACTCTCTCTCTCTCTCAATCTTTTCTAATTTCTAAAGCACTGCATCTGTTGTATCTCTGAGCACCCAACTTGTGGGTCGCCGTCTTTTCTGAGTCTTTTTGTGTGTATACAGTTTTTTCTCTTTCAATACAAGTTAACCTTTTCATCAAAAAAAAAAGACTAGCAGTCAGTGTTTTATAAACTATGAACTCAGGTTGGGATTTGCTAGCATCCCGTGCCCGAGTCGGGTAACTTGACTTGACTGGGACATCCGTGTGGTGTGTATAAGGCTATGGCCTTAAACAATCAAAGTAAGCTGGATCTTCAAATAGTATCGAAAGTACCGAAAATATTTATGATAACCTAAAAATTTATTTTCACTTCTAATTGTAAAATTTAAAGCTTAAAAAATAGTGTTGATCGAGTAAATCTATGGACACTTGAAAATTGACAGTCTAGATAATATATTACAAGACGCACTATTTTCAAGATTTAAAGGCCTTTGTTTTTTAACATCCATGTATCTCAAAATCAAGATGATCAGATTTGAGGATTTTTCAGCATCAAACCTTGTTCCGGTGAATATTTGAGGTGCACCAACCTTATATAAACTTTTTCTAACAAAAAAAACGTTGAGTATCCACGAGACTCGCCTGTTCCCATGGTTTGTCTTCAGACTCAGCAAATTTAAATTATTACCAGCAGTTACTTAAAGAGAAAATAATTTGCATTTTTTTTCTAATGATTGATATAACGGGTTGTTTTACTCAGTATCCTCCTGGAATTACTCCACTGATCCAAAGCAGCTCATCAGCTAGACACGGAGGTGCGGTGCAATATTAATGGCCCTTCTCCCCTTACAAGTGAATCATGAATGTATCAATACCTGATCTTTACTAATTATAAGTCAGTGAAGCTTGAAGTAGCACAAAAGGAGAGAGAGAGCAAGAGAACATTTCATCTACTTATCAATTTAAAAACAACCATATTTTATAATTGATGTTTCATCCAATCTAT